CATGAAGTTTAATGCAATTTACTTTTGGCAAAACTCTCTCAAAGTATTCATCTTTTCTACTTTGATTGTTTGCATATTTGATTGAAGAATTTCGGATTTACAATTGGTATCAGAGCAAACTGCAGCAATTTTTGGTTCAAAAATCTGCCTAGAAACTGGAATTTAACTGGAAAATTCAGACTGTTCTTTATATTCTTGAGTGTTCTTGAACATTTTTTCATTTTTTTATTGAATTCATTGAAGATTAGCTATTTGATTGTTGTATTATTGCGAATTTTGTGCGTCATCTTGTTTAGAATCAATCTGTTCAAACAATTTATGTAATTGAATTGATTCAGTGATCAAATTGTTGAATTCTATGATTTCTCGAACAGAAACTGTTCTTAATCAATAAATCATATTTGTGCGATTTTGATCGAGTTGTAGGTGAATTGTTTGGTAAAATTGTGTTTGTGATTGAATTTTGAGCTATTCTACATAATTTTCATTCGATTAAGTCTGTTTTCTGAATTTTTTGGAAGTGTTTTACTCATCGCTAATTGAATTTGTTCATCAAGCGATAAACATCACTCATCGGTCATTGAATTTGTGAGTGTTGTCCGATTTGGTTGTGTTCGATTAAATGATCTCTTTGATTAATTCTTGTGACTTGAATTTTTCAATAAATTTGAATCAGGATAAAGTGTTGGTGCGGATTGTGTGTTTTGCTATCCGGAGAGTGTTAATTCCTTGATTTGTTCTGCTTTAGTGTTTACTATCCGGTGAAAGTGTTGTCCGGACATCTTGGTATCCGGTGAAAGCTTCATCCAGATAAGTTTCTAGTTAATCTTGGATTTTTTGTTTGTCTGGATAAGTGTGCTTCATAATATTCTCTTTTTATCTGTTTATATCTTTGTCCAGAGACATATTGTCTGGAGACATAGCGTCCTGAGAGCTTCTATCCGGATAAGTTTGAGTTTTGAAAATTTTGTCCATATAAGTCTTTGTGATTTTGTTGTGTTAATTTTTTTGGGTGGAATTTGTGAAAATGTTTCAAATTCTAAGTTTTTTAATCTAAATTTTGAAGTGTAGAGATCTATATTTTTTAAATCAGATAAGATGAGTTCAAGAGAAGCAATGTCCATAGAAACAGATACTAAACCACCAGTTCTGTTCAGAGGAGATTACAATCAATGGAGAGACAAATTTTTAAACTTCATTAAAAGACAGAAGGAAGGAGAATCAATCTTGGAATCTTTAATGAATGGTCCAGCTGTATTTTGGAAGGAGGTTCCTGCAGTACCTGAGCAGAATAAACCTGCTGAAATTGTGATAAAAGAAAAATCTAAATATAGTCCAAATGATTTAATCAGAGCACAAGCTGATGTTTTGTGTAAATCATATATGATGCAGGCCTTAACGAATGACATTTATATAAGCATTGACAGTTACAAGGAATCAAAGCATAGTATGTGGAAATAGATAGAAAGAATGATGATGGGTTCTAAAGTTGGTACACAACTGAAAATTACCAATTGTATTACAAGTTATGAAGAGCTTAAGGCTAAGGAAGGAGAGAGTTTAGATGATATGTGTTATAACCAGGTTTGAGGCAACCTGGGTTGAGGTAATTTATATATGTTTATTATGTGGATTACGTGAAATATGAATATCTAAATAGAAATACATGAACTATATATGTGAAATGTGAACATGATATTGTGCATGCATATATGTGAAAAGATGGCATGATATGTATGTAATTTATACATGTATGCATGTGGTGTAAAGCATACATGAGGTGGTGCATATTTGTGAAAAGATATCCTGGTGGAAACATTATTATAATATTTAAAAACTTATACCTTCATTGTTAAGAAATCATGAATTTTATAATGAAAAACCCACCACTCAAGGTTATGTCTATTGGATAAAGCTTTCACCGCCTATGAGTTTTTGATAGTCCCAGAAATCATACAAACATTAAGCAATCTTCAAGAATCATGATGAACATGAAAGATGGAAATAATATGAACAAAGGATGATTAGATTGATAGAGAGAGAATATTACAGCACTAATCTTGATCAATCTGCTAATGACGATTGTTAATTACAATTACAAGGAAATCACTATTTATACTAGGAAATTGTAAAGGCTAAACTAATACAAAACAACTATACTAACGAGAAACTTGAATACAACATTAAAGCACTAACTTGAACCCAACATTCTCCCCCTTTGGATTCAAGTTTGGACCCTTGTGAATTTCGTTTTGCGCAGTCCAAGTATTTTCTCTAACCTTCTCAAAGCATTCCTATACTGAATCTTCTCCTCGAGCAAATTTATGGCATTGACAAGCAAGTATCTTTCTTTGGCATTCATCCGTTCAGATTCCACAGCCTTATCATCCATCACCCTTTTTAAGTCAAGTGCCCTTCTTACAAGCTTGATCGTACCGTCAGAATACTTGTTCAACTCACTGAATCTCATGAACTTTTTGACTTGAAGTTGAGCAAAGTAGATAACCCCAAATTCTGGACTTTCAAGAACCATGTAAACTGGATAGCCTTCAATGTCTTCTAAATCTTGATTAGGTCTTTTGAGGCTGATAATTCGTTGACTGTCTTCAAGACCCATTTGAATATCAATGACCATTGACAGCTTTACATGATTTCGAATGAATCTCTTAATTGCATCCAGAGCTACCAGTTCTCCTTCCTTTCTAATCGTTATGTTCTTGAGTTCAAAGTACATGTATTCGAGGTCATCCAAATATAAGTTCGAGAAATCAGCTTCGCTGAATCTCCAGATCTGGCCATCCTGCCTTGTAACTGTAAACACAGGATACCARATTCTTAACAGTTTCTGAGCATCAATTTGTTTGATCGTGACAATTCTATGCTTTGTACGAACTTGACTGATAGGCTGACACCTGGCTTTCAAAAGGTGACGATATTTAATTCGGTAATCTTTTGGCTTCTTGTGAATTCCAAGAACTCTGTCAGCACTAAGCAATTTTCTGTGACGAATGAAAATCCCAAAGTAGATATCTTCCAAGTATGGCTCTCGGATTCTTTCACGATCATAACCAAAAAAGTTTGCTCTGATGTGAAAAGGAATGTAATTCTTTGAGAAAATCTCGGTAGGATCAACAGTTTCTCTTTGAGCACTTACTTCAGGCACATCAGGTAAAGCAGCAGTAGACAATTCTGGAATATTCTGACTATCAGCTTGAACGGGAAAAGCTGGATCTTCTTCATCTAAGTCAGCTTCAAAATCAAAATAAATTCCAGTTGATTCGTCAATATTATCAAAATCTTCACCAAAATCCTGCTCTCCACCCAGAGTAGTAGAGAAAACACTGTTGAATCCTACATTGGCAGACAAGTCCATTAACAACCTTGTTTCCACTGTGGTGTCCGCCGGCTTTTCAACCATTGGCTTGATCCTTGGACTTGTCTCCACATCTTCTTCTTCCATAACAACAGCCTCAATTATTCTTTCCCGAACTGTTTCCGGGGCAGAACCTTCAGCAGTTACGTCCTGAGCTAATGACTCTTCACCCATCCTTGCACCTTGTTGAGATGTCTCAGCCAATCTCTGTCTTTTCATCTCCCCCTCATGACTATCAGGATCATCCTGATCGTCATGTCTTCGTTTAAGAGATGTGGYWTRARACTTGCAWGTTTCTTCAAGTATAGATACCCTTTCAACAAGAGCATCCATTGAACATTTCAGATCTTGGGAATGAGATGTGATTAAGWTGCTGACTTTAGAAAAACTAGCTTTAATCACATCCTGAAAAGTCAAGAACTCTGAGGCTCTAATTACAGGGTTAGTATCAATTTGTTGGCGTAAGAGACCAACCAAATTTGCATCTTCAGCGTCTTCACTTTGAGAAGCCATCAACTTAGCATATAAAAGAGATTTCAGCTCGTCCACCGATTGATCTGGTACTGACGGTTCAGGTACAGGTGGTGGTGATGGCGCAGATGGTGGCTCTTCTACAACAACTTCTTTACCCTTCAACAATCTCTTCAAACTAGCGATTTGAGYGTCAAAGTTTTCTTGAACAGCCATTAGGGCGCCATCCAAATATTCCCTTGACACAAAGTCAGGTAAGCTCACACCTGGTTCACGTAGAATACCAGTTGAAACAACAGTTGAGTAAACTGATGTGCCTACGTTCAATGTTGGCATAATGTTAGCATTGGTAGGACTTCC